AAGGAAGAGACACACGTTCACTAAAAGCAGAAAAAAAGATATCCGGTCACAGAGATCTGCTATTCTAAAGTAAAGTCAACACATATCGACCCTAAATATAGTCTATATTAAGAACGAGAAAAGTCTGAACATATATATCGTTTTTTGGAAACATATGACAAATCTGCAAGGGTGATGACGTCAGAGACTCGTCCTGTGCCGGGGCTTAGCCCCGGACAGCCCGGCCCAATTTAACCCCTGGGTATTTGTGAGGGAGCTCCTATATGGCATTACCCCGCTGAAGCTCACCAAAGTTTAATATATTTAATATATTTCATAGTTCAAAGTTTTGTCAATTGTTTTGTTTATTGGTCAAATACTGGTTTCTAATGGTTTCTGAGGAGTTTTACTGGAATGAAAGAGCACAAAGTGTGTCTACAAAAGCAAAAAAGCAGCATATTGCATTAAACCTGACCTTGACAGAGAGGTTGAAGTTCATGTGGAGAGGAGGCTTCAGTAGTCTGTCTGTTTTATCTTTTGGGAACAATGCCTAAATCAAATACTACTTTCTAATAAACATTGCATTGTGTTGGTCACACAATTCATTCTCTTGTGCTTTGTTCTATCTGAATTATGATAAGGAGTAATCACAAGCTGTTTAGTTATGCTATCTTACAATAAATACTGTAGTCAATGTGAGGTAAAGTGTGTCGCAAGTGTAACCGGTTAGAACTCAAAGTTGCGATGAGGTCTTAAAATGTATGGAAAGGGTCTTAAAAAAGGTCTTAAAAAGTATTACATTTGACTTCAGGATTCCTACATATACCCTGTATTTGTTTTTGTCAAAAAGTACCTATTAATTTAGGGGAGTAAATCTCAAACGCTTCCCTTAGAGAAGTAATGGAGTAGAGATTACGGTACTGCACTTTGGAACAAATTATGTTGTGAAACAACAGTCAGAAGTGCTGAAAGAAAACTTTAAAACTTGGAAACTGTCAGCTCTGCGGAAGTGTTCATCAGTGGCCCTCTACCGCCAGTCAGAAGAGGAGTGGAGAGATTCAGCAGATTGTTTGCACTGAATACTTGGCTTTCAACTGCCTGTACTGATCATTCTGTCCATTTTATTGACAATTTTAACTTTTTCTGGGACCGCAAACATCTTTTTTTAAGGCAGATGGAGTTTGCCTGAACAAGTCAGGAGAGAAATTGTTTATCTCTAACATATTCAACTGCCTGCGTGATCTTTCTGTTAGCTTTGCCAAGGACAAGCAACAAGAAGATTCAAAACAAGAGAAAGACACAACACATCGCTCAGAAATCCTTGAAGATGTATCACTGCACCCGCCTGAGGAATGTCTTGATTATGGGAAACCTATGTATGAACCTATGTATGTATGTATATATGAGACAAATGGAGGAGTTTTCACCACCCTTCACCCCCCCTATGACCTTTGAGGATACTCTTCCTTCACCCCACAGCTCTCTCTACTCACCCTCGCCCACCCTCCCGGAGATCGCTGAACACATGAAGGAGATACAGGATGGCGCCAATTCCTTCCTGGAGTTCAATGACCGCATTAAGGCGATACAGGGTTGGCAGCATGTCTTTTACCCCCGCCCCTCAACGACGCCCACAGAGACCCGCACCATCTCCCCCGTCTTCATCACCGTGCCTCAACCACCTCCCCCCCTTCAAGACACCATCTGCGGTCACCGAAGCCTGATAAGAATGTGTGTGTACAAAACGCAGCAAACTCTTACTGATATGTGCTGGGTCCAGGCTCAAAGGCGTATGGCACTCTCAACTCTTTCCAGGACATGCCGGGGCCCTGCCTGCCTGTAGCTTTACCGATATCTGTGTTGATAGGTAATAGATTAAGAGCGGTGAATAAGCTTAGAAACAGGAAGCGCTCAAACGTTTGTGTGAGTTTATCAAATTTAGCAGTGATTCCATGTCAGCCACAGCTTGTCACACAAAACCTGGCTGATAGTGTGTTTAACAAACTTAAAC